TCTAGAGACCATCACATATTTAGGAGCAAAAGTTTGCGATTTTGACTGGCCAAAGCGAGATGAACGGAAATTTTTACTTTTTAAATATAAGAGAGCAGCCTGAAACGTTAGTCATCGGTGTGTGGTGGAACTGTCGTGGGCTTAAAGTACTTTTTTCATCCTTGATGAAAGAAATTATCAAACTAGTTTTGGTTCTCTGTTCAGTAATCTACTCTTCGAAAAAAAAAATGAACCCTGCCACTTTCAGAGTAGGTTGGCTTTTTACATTCTAGTCAACTTGTTTCTTACATTCTTTTTAAAAAGTGCTGTTGGATGGGATTTTTTCAGCGTTTTGTTGATTATTGTCCTAATTTTTGAAATTGGTAGTCTAAGGAAAAACCATCTGTGGTACTAGTACACAGCAAATTCTACAATAATTTTAAGGGGAGTTTTATAACACGAACTTTTAAGCCAGAGGCTAGCGAAATTCGGGTTCAAACAATAAGTTAATTTTATTACATTTTTAAACCAAAAAGTGAAATGAGCGTACAGCCCCCCTAAACTCCATTCGGTTTTTTATGAAAGGTCGCAGTAAACGTGATCTTTGCCTTTCTAGTAACATTCATTGGCGCCACTGGAAGCTGAATTAATTGCTTGCATTTGATTAATTCCAGTGTCTATTGTGCAATCTGAAATAATAAAAAAATGTAACTCGTAACTTTAATCACTTGTATAATTTGTTAGTGAGATGGTTTTTTTCCAACTAAGCATATCTTTTCAATTGTTTGATATGATATCCCAAAAGCCTAATTTTTTTCGGTTTTTCATGCTCTTTGTAAATTCTTTGCGGCTATATATGCATATTTCAAAGATGAATGTCCTATTGTGTTTACACATTGAATTCAATAAGAAATATCACACAATACTTGTGTTGCCTAGTGAGAGACAGCTAACATTCACCGCAATAACGTCATGCGGTGTTCTCAGCATGCGCCAGTTCCCATCACCATGGGTCAAGTTGTAAGGTGGTAGATGTCTGCGAAACCCTGCCTCAGCGATGGGTACACATATACCCCCTGGTTAAGGTTCTCACTGGGACATAATTCTTGCCTGCGATTCCAGCGTCAGGCCTACCCTTAGGATGCTCGACAAGCCGGCTGAGAAACACCCCGTCGCATCAAAAATGAGATAATGTCCAGTAAAGCATGTCGAGTAAAAGCTAGGGTGTCTCCCGGAAGCGACGCGCACTCGAGCCCAGCGGGTGCAAATACTGAGCTAGGGCCACCGTTTTAAAGATCGGAGATGGGTAGGAAAGCTAGCTCTTCAAAGGCAAATATCCGAAAACTCAAAAGCAATCCGATCAGCTACTGTCGGTATCGGAACTCTCACTGGACGACATCGAGAATTGGCGGATCTCCGAGAAGACGGCAAGTGGATATAGCCTGCATACAGGAAACAAATCGGAAGGGTGGAAAATCACGCGAT